GTGGAGTTTTAAAGACACGGGAATGTTCCGCCTCGGGGCGCCCGAGAAGAGGTTCCCTCAACACCACCTACATTGTCCTGTACGCCATCACTTCCCCGGCTCTAGACTCGTACATAGACCACGTCTTCAACGAATCTGGTGGAGCCGAGAATGGCGGCGACATACACCTAGCGATACTGAACATAGGCGCCGTTCAATTCACCACCCTGGCAGTGGTTATTTTGGGCGCGACATTTGTACCCCAGGGGGCCGTCGCATTTAACCCGGAGATATTGTTCGACCAGAAGCTGGACACGGAAATAGTCAAGGCTAGCAAGCTGGATGACGGGATCGATATGCCGAAGCGCCGCAAGGATAGGGAATATACTAATAACTACTTAACCCTCAATGGCAGCAGTCACACTAGTCGTCATGAAGTCTATGATGGCGGAAGTCGGCACCAGCGTTATGCGAATGTAGCATAGGCTGCTTGTATCGTTCCCATTTTTGATTGATTGATTTATTTACATACGTTCATTCAGTAGCATGGTTCAACAAGCCCCTCGTCATTTTCAGCTTTTCTGATATGGGCATTTGTGTTATCTCTGACTCTATTCCCCGCACTACTCATCTTCTATGTAGTAAACACATATTGTTTACCACTGTTTTGATACCCCTTGTGCTGAATCAGACACGCAGAAAAATTTATGCCCTCCAGCTCACTAGCGCTGGCAAGCAGTCAAAATTAATGATATTCTCCCTTGCATTCTCTCATTTGATCTACGTTCCAGCCACTACATACACTGTACGTATAAAATGTGTGTTGTGGTTTTCCTATTTATGTACCTGGGCTAGAGAAGATAGATAGATGCCGGTATGTATGCCTCCTCGACAACAATTAAGAGCCCTGTTCAATGTCGCAATTCACCAATCAAAAGGATCGGACAAATGAACGTGTTACAAATATTTCATATGACTAGTTGTAGAAGCCTTGCAACTTGGTTGAGAAATCTATATCATTGGAAAGTGAACTTTACTCTAACAAATAACGGAGTCTCGCAGCACAGAACTATCCTGTGTAGCTCTCGGGAAGAGGGAAGAAATTTCTATTCCCGTACTACATTCTATGAGATGAGTCATTAATAGCTGGCAGGATGTGTGAAGCGAGAAGGGCAAAAAGAGCGAGTTTTGATGTAAAAAAAGGGACAGAAGAAAGCAGCAACAAGCATGAGTGCGCAGACATGTATTTTGTATCATGAATAAAACGGGAAGGCATATGAAACATGAAGAGTACCCAAATGAGGAACAAAAATAAAAATAAAATAAACATAAAAAGCTACAATGAAAAAGGAAATACGACGACGACCGCACCTCAAAGGTGTTTGCCCATAAACTTTCGTTTGGCAAAAGCCAGCCACCACTAGAAGAGTTCAAGTCAGCCATTGATGTGCGGAGATGCAATGGACGCGGCGAAGAAAGAAATGAATCTCCTGTACGGTACCTTCGACGGCCCGACGCCCCCAGGGTACAAACGGGAATGTAATCGGAGGGCAAGTTCTTGTCGGACTTGGGAAATATACCTAGAGTACGGCAGGTAAGTTTTCAGTCAGAAAAGACAAAACGATATAGACTCCTGGAGCTTGGCGTACTGTCTTAAGGTCTCTGCGTCCTGGCGATCGCGCGGAGGTTCGAACGCCTGGTTAAGGGGGAAAGATGCATCCCCGGGGATTGCGAAGTGGTCGAGTGAGGTGTTGATAAGGACCTGTATTGATCAAGCGACGGATTAGCGACCGCAACAGGATACACGATCTCCGAGAGGGTAATAACTATTTTATTTTTATTTTTATTTTTATTTTTATTTTTTTTTATTTTTAATTGAGCCTTATCCTTGCAACAAACATGTACCTTTTCCGCCTCTCTCGGTGCCATGCCTGGCTTCACTTTCGTCAGACACTCGCTTATGAAGAGGATGCCATATATCAGCATGCGGTCAGCGGGACCCTTGATTTCAAAATTGCGGAAGAACGTGTTGGCGCGGTACAGGGAGAGGATTTCATCAAGGCAGTCGTACGATTCGCTATCGGGGTCTATATCGAATTCCGCGGTGCCGGGAGCCAGCTGGGGTAGGGTGTAGGCGGGGCCACGCGTTCGGGTGCGAAGCGGCAGGAGAGGAAAATTTCCTGACTCATGTGAGAAATACGCGGCTGCATTTGGTCTACTCTAGTGGTGCACATAGATATATGTTCATATGGTAAATACCTATGGTTGGGACATCTGCCTCCTGGAGGAAGATAGAGTGGTACGCCTGGTGTTGAAGGATCAGCGGGGTTCAATGAAGGAATGAATAATGAGGAACAGAGGACCAAACCAACAGGCATCTTCAAACAAGCTAAATCTCCCTGTGTATATCCTTGAGAATTACTAGCTAGATCATTATTCCTTAGAAGTTTCTCGTTGTCGTCGGCTCCATCAACGGCGTTTCACTCGCTGTGAAGTCTGAAGCTGCGGCTCTTGGGCAATGTCCATTGGGCGAGACACTAGTCCCATTTAGTGCTGCTTAGTGAATTGGTTTTTCCGCCTCCGGACTGCTTAACGCGGTCTGATTTCGCGGCTCAACGCGTCGGATGGTGGAGCTTTTGAATAATGTCATGTTCACCACGGATGCGTTGGTTATTGCGCATATTCTCCCCAATTGCTGCGGCATATATACGTTTTAAAATTTTAGGTTTCTGGAGGAGAACTTGTACAGCATACCTCCTTTCTATCTCGCCGCCACACCATGTCGGACTTCGATGGTGAAATGGATGTGGACGACCCACCCTCCAAAAATGCTGCCCAGTTCAGCTCCGATAATACCAATGGAAGAGGCAAAAGAATAGCCGCGGATCTTCCCATCGAAGCAGAGGACGTTCTGCCATGGTATTATTTTCCTCTGGATCTTATCATTTCCACCCCCCATTTCCAGCGGGAGAAGCAGCTAATAGTTTTCTCGAAAAGGGTCGAAAAGTACCGCCCAAATACCCTAGAAGATGTATCCGGACACCACGATATCATCAGTACTATTAACAGATTTATCGATAAAAATGTAAATGATCCAGGCCGTTCCAAATGCCCCGAACATTGATTGGACTAATCCCTTGTTTGTCCAGCGATTGCCTCATTTGCTCCTCTACGGTCCCCCAGGCACGGGAAAAACGTCGACCATCCTTGCCCTAGCACGGCGGATATATGGGGTGAAGAATATGCGACAGATGGTCCTGGAGTTAAATGCCAGCGATGACAGAGGAATTGACGTTGTAAGAGACCAGATCAAAACATTCGCTAGTTCGTCATCCACCCCTTTAGATATTCACTTAGTAACGTAGGTCTTATGAAACTAACAAGTATTTCCTATCCCAGGCACCAAACAAATATTCTCTGTGACTCCATCTACCAAGTCGGAATCAACCCTTGGAGCGTTCAAATTAATCATCCTTGATGAAGCCGATGCGATGACAGCAACTGCGCAGATGGCACTCCGCCGCATCATGGAAAAATACACCGCAAACACTCGATTTTGTATCATTGCAAACTATACACACAAGCTCTCTCCCGCGCTACTGTCGCGATGCACGCGATTCCGATTTAGTCCGCTGAAGGAGGAAGATATCCGCGTGCTAGTAGACCAGGTTGTCGAGAAGGAGCGGGTGCGGATACAGCCGGAAGCAATCGACAGCCTTGTGCAGTTGAGCAAGGGAGACATGAGACGAGCATTGAACGTACTCCAGGCATGCCACGCAAGCAGTAAGCCGACCAAGCCGATTTCCTCTTAATACTGACCAGGATATCGGGTTTCTGACCAATATGATTTTTATTGTCTGCTTGCCCAGGTATACCCCTTTCCATGAAAAACGGCCCGATAGCCCAGCCCACTTCCGAACACGAAACCATAACCGATGAAACTATCTATACTTGCATCGCAGCCCCACATCCATCCGATATTAAAACGATTATCACCACATTATTAACAACCAGCGACGTGACATCATGTTTGAACACTATCAAAACATTGAAATCGACTAAGGGACTTGCCTTGGCGGATATCTTGACCTCAATATCGACAGAGCTGCAACGCATTGAAGTGCCTGCCGCAACACGAATAGTCTGGATGGAAGGGCTTGCAGATATCGAATGGCGCCTAGCCGCTGGTGGAGGGGAGATGGTGCAAACAGGTGGGTTGGTTGGAGTAGTACGCGGGGGATGCGAATTAGCAGGAAGTTTAGATGTTCGTCAAAATCCCTGATAATATGGAACATATAATAATCATTCATCCAACCGTCACGTCCGTCCAATTGCAATATTTCGCTACAAAAAATCCAACCTCAGGTAAAACCTTATCGCCCGAGAAAATAGGGAACCCCGCCGCCAGGGGATTTTTGCGACGAGGCGGGAGTGGGGGCGAGCTCAGCGCACACTCCAGCAAAAGCCGAGAAGTGGGGCAAAAATTCAACCTCACGATTGCAGGATGCTGGTAAACAATACGGAATTATTCCCAATCGCCATATCGGCATTGACCTTTCAAACCGATTGCACTCACTTTACCAGGCGTGTGGCTTGTAGGAATAGGATGGGGAAAGACGTTGTAGAAAGCAGAGGGGATTTCCATAAATGATAAATAACGTAATTGAAAAGCGGCCTCATACTGGACAAGGTTTGTCTGTATCCATGCGATCGATCAATGGCATCCAGGCATGGCCGTTTGTCTCTTCCCCCGCCCATCTCCCGGTTTGCTTTCTCTGTTACATGGTTCCGTACATTCTGGCTCACCTCGTTCTTCTGCTCGTTCTTCCACTCCCTTCTTTCGCCGATAATACTCCCTAGCCCTATGCATTCAATCCTCTTCCAGGCACGAGAACCCAATTACATCACACCGTACCCCGCAACCTAGAGTCAGCTTCCCGTCATGCGCTCCCAGCCCATTCAACTCTCCTCGGCGATGTTGGCCCTGGCATCTCTCGCCGTTTTTGGCCTGCAGGCTTCTGCAGAGACAGTATTGGGAGTCTATGTCTTTGCCCGCCATGGAGACCGCACGTCAAAATCTACGCCTCCCACCGAGTTGACCACTTTGGGCTACCAGCAGGTATTCAACACCGGCTCGTACTATCATAATCGCTATATCGCGGCTTCATCCGACTCGCGCATCCTCGGTATAAGCCCAGACATTGTACAACCACACCAGCTCCTAGCATCTGCACCCGAAGACGAAGTGCTGCAGAAATCTGCTATTGGGTTCTTGCAAGCTGTCTACCCGCCCGTTGGCAATGTTGCCACTTCCACTCTTCGCAATGGCACTGTCGTCGAGGCTCCTATGAACGGGTATCAGCTCATTGCTGTCGAGCAAGTGTCAACAGGCGGCAACAGCGAGAATGTCGCCTGGCTGCAAAGCGCAACCAAGTGTCAAAAAGCCAAGATCAGCAGCAGCGAGTACCGTCAATCGAAGGAGTTTCAGGAGCTGTTCCAGTCGACTGCCGGATTCTACAAGTCCGTTGCACCCATGGTGGAACGGACATTTCCAGAATCAAAGGTTAACTTCGGGAATGCGTACTTGGTCTTCGATCTCCTTAACGTTGCCAGGATCCATAACACAACCGACTCATTGCCGGATGACAAACTGCCGTCGAAGGAAACATTTACCCGTCTCCAGGACCTGGCAAACATATATGAATTCAACCTTGCGTACAACGCAACCTCCCCTATCCGGGCAGTCGGTGGCTCGCTCTTGGCCGGTGAAGTTCTCTCCAGCTTCAATGAGCTAATCGACACGGCTGGTGCGAAGGCCAAACTCAGCGTCCAATTTGGTGCCTACGCTATCTTCCTTTCCTTCTTCGGCCTCACAAAGCTCGCAGAGACGAAGCCTGAATTCACTGGCATTCCGGACTACGCGTCCAGCATGGCATTTGAGCTGGTGACCAACGCGACGACCTCGCCGTCTGGTCCATTCCCCAGCCGATCCGACATCAGTGTCCGCTTCCTCTTCCGCAATGGCAGCGTACTCCCCAACTCCCCCGACACGCAGCCGGCCGCATACCCACTCTTCGGTCAATCGACAACGCTCATGCCGTGGTCTGAATTCGAGTCCAACATGAAGCAGATTGCCATTTCCTCAGAGGAGGAATTCTGCAAGGCTTGCAGCGCGACTCCAGAGCGCTGCGCTGCCGGAAGCGGCGCGGATGATGGCCTAAATGCATCTTCGGCTGGTTCTGGTAGCAGTGGTGACCTGTCCAGAACGGAGGCTGGTGTTGTGGGTGCATTTGTGGCTTTAGCCGTCATCCTGGGGCTTCAGGGACTTGCATTCCTGTTTGGTGGGTTTCGCCTTGTTACGAAGAAGGGCTTCACCGAGGTTAAAGGAGATGCATAAGTCTCAGGCGCAAATGGATTGTTTTGGTGTCAAGCGTGTCTACGAGGTTTTTATTATTGGTTCAGGGACTATAAGAATTAGATCCATTGGGTGTCTGGAGGGCAGGGGAAGATGGGGTCGAGATTATCTCTCACCTGTAGGAACGGCACGATTAATGAAGATTGACGAAGGATGTGAGAAAAAAAGAGGAAACACATATGTTTAAGTGAGTACATACTAGTATGTGGCGACACATAATGACGGCACGATAGGCTTCAAAATATCATCCTCTCGGTGATAAATCAAAGAAGAATATATTACATAGTTAATTCTATACAACACCCCCAGAAGCCTTCAGTGATAATAAAGGTTGAAATAAGAAAAACTAGAAAGCTAAAAGAATACAACGAAAAGCAGACGAAAAGAAAGAAGTCAAACACCATATTCCCCCCGATGTCAATGATCCAACAGCACGCCTTACGTTCTGTTCCCTGAAGTGTCCCCCCCCCCCCCTCCCCAGCCCGCTGTAATCTGCTGGTACTGTACAAACGACTATCAATACCTCTTTATTATGTGAGACGGAGAAAGTGTGCGGAAAGACACAATAGGGATGTTAACTAGCGGATGCCACCCGTCCATGTATGTACAGAGTTCCAAACCAGCTATTATTATCATTGTGAAGCACTGATGTCGTTGATGGCCCTGGAATGGGTTACAGCTGGATATGATTAATAAAAAGTTGAATGTGGTTTAAAAAAAGTGAGAATGAAAAATAAACCATACTCATTTCTTCACTCTCTCGCTAACATCTTTTACACATTCTTAGTCTATATTATTGTTATACTTCAATATTCAGAGCTCTTCAACATCTGAAAAGTAGTTCTGAGTTAGAATTAGTGATCTAAAGTTAGAATTCAGTAGTTAAGAAATAGAGCTCTGAGAAATATAATAAAATCATCATCTCTGAAGCATTCAGAGGTGTGAGCGATGCTCTTTTGCCCCAGTGGCCTAACAGAAGAAGAGCAATCACTTGATGATGTAATCGGGTCGTAACTGCGGAACGCCATCGCCAAATCTCTAGTTAACATTTCTGACGGTGTCAAAGATACTGACAGTTCCTAACACTGGCCCCAAAGCTGCTTTTTTGCTCTGTTTCTGGTCAATGGATTTGCATCCACTCCTACAATTTCCACTACAGTAATGATTAGAACGTTCGCCATACGTTCAGGTCAAGCCATCACCGAAACCTTTCAGAGTTAGTTGCAACACTCCGCTTTGTTACCCTCCTACAGAAATACCGGGAGAAGATAAGGGTTCGCTGTGCCTCAAATCTCCAGATCCTGGAGAAAGGCTTCGCGTAATGTCATCACACTATAATACGGAGCCACCACCAACTGCCTCCGCCACCCTCATCACCACTGCTGGTCCGCTCCACATCTCCCTCTTCGCGAAACAAACGCCTCTCGCATGCAAAAATTTCCTTCAGCATTGCTTAGACGGGTACTACAATGGGACAGTCTTTCACCGCGTCATCCCGGACTTCATAATCCAGGGCGGCGACCCAACGGGGACAGGCTCGGGAGGCTCATCGATCTACGAAGATCCAGAGTTCGAAGTCGACTCGCGCGATGGGGAAAAGGTTTTGTTCAGAGATGAAATACACAGCAGACTACGATTCAACCGCCGTGGGTTGGTCGGGATGGCAAAAGCAGAAGATGGGACGTATGGAAGCCAGTTTTTTGTTACCCTCGGAAGTAACGCGGACAGGCAGTTAACCGGGACGTGTACGATGTTTGGACGCATTGAAGGGGATAGTATCTATAACGTAGTAAGGATTGCAGAGGGGGATCTGGTGGAAGGAACTGAGCGGCCCGTGTATGCCGTAAAGGTTACGGGGTGTGAAGTGGGCGATTTGGGTCCCTTCAAGGATGTTTTAAGGAAGCGCAAAAAAGTCGCTGTTGCCGCGCCGCAGAAGCAAGAGGGAGTAAAGCGCGACGTTCCTAATAAGAGGAAAAAGGGCAAAGGCGCAAAAGTATTATTGAGTTTTGCGGACGATGAAGAAGAGGGTATGATGCATGCAACACAGAAAATGAAGAAGCCTAAGTTCAATACCAACCTCGTCACATCAGGAGAAGGAGCGGTGCCGGAACAAAACGAGAGCATTCAGGAACATAAAAGCCAACTTAAAGTTGCAAGGGCTTCCCCTACACACAAAAACCAAGCTGATCTCGACGTCCAACAAGTCCACCCAAAGAGGCGCAGGTCTGCCTCCCCTTCAAAATCACCGCCCGTAAGCCGGATACCACCACGAGACCCTAACACCCAACTCCCTTTTCCGGACCCGGAAGCCCCGTCTGGCTCTCAATCTTCCTCCCCCGACCCTCCCGCAAAGCAATTAGCTTTATCACGAACCACCGCCGAAATAGATGCGCTCAAAGCATCCATGCGTCGCAACGTCACCAAAACCACAGAACCTACACGTAAAAAGTCTGCGCTTGACTCTTTGATCCCAGAAACGTCAATAAGAGGCCGTCGACGCCCAACCTCGGGCAGCACCAACGGGGCTGGATTAGGGAACGGGACATCCCAAGATAGCGAGGCAATGAGGATGTTTAATGCATTCAAAGCTCGTTTAGAACAGGCTGATCTAATATCAAGTCGATCAAAAATGACAAAAAAAACAGGTGACTACGAACATGGAAGTTCCAGACAACTCAAAGGCAAGAAACTCCAATCTGCCAATGCGGCAAAGGATAAAAAAGGGAGTGGAGATGGAGAAGAAGAAGAAGAAGAAGCAGAAGCACAAGTCTGTGACCTCCATTTCATCGCAAACTGCCCATCATGCCGCACGTGGGACACGACTGCCATCGCCGCGCAGGACGACACCGCCCAAAACCACGGCCGAGAGGATGACGATAACCCAATTGACTGGATGACGCACCGACTGACCTTCGGCAAGGACATGCTGGGCAAGGATCTGAATTGGAAGCGCACACATGAGGACGTGGATGGGCTTGTGGTGATTGATCCTCGCGAGAAGGAGAAGGAGGTTGTTGGAGGCGGTGGTGCTGGGAGGCGGCGAGAGCGAGAGCGGCAGCGCAAGTTGGGGTCGGGACATCGAAGGGAGTGGGATGGGAACGGGTGGTAATCTTCCTTTCATATAGTTCTGTATAGAAGGTCAATTGCAGGATACTAGTGTTAGCAGTTAACCTAAGGGGTTCCCTGCCAAATAGCGAAAAGACAGTAAAGCGTCTACCATGTTTCTTCGTCGTCCAGGACCCCGCCCAATGGACTGACTAAAAGATACGAACAACTCTTTCTCAGCGATGTAGCTGGATATGATAACATGTCCGCGCTTTTCTCGGACAACTACGATGCTCGGTGCATGGAGTCGGTAAATAAAATGTGTCACGCGAGTGACATATCTCCTATATTATTTTGCCATCGCTTTTATATGTACAGTACAAGGTGTGAAATTCACAAAATCAAAATTTCTTGTGTTTTTTTTGAGATCGTTTTCACCCTGTAACCAGTTGGCAAAAACATGTGCCTTGCGTCCTATTCACACGACAATCAGCGACCTGATGTATGCCCGCAACCACCATACATCATCCGTAGTTGGGTTCATGGTTTGGTGTCCACAAAAAAACAAAGAAAGAAAATAAAAGAAAGGAAAGGAAAGGAAAAAAAGGCCAGCTGAAGATGTCAAAACGTAAAAATATTGAAGTAAGGAAAATATGTAGGAGAAGAATTGGAACATAATAAAAATCTCTCAATGACTTGCTCATCCAGCAAAAGCATTGATACTCTTAAGTTGGGCATACAGTTGAATGTGGTTAATAAAAAGTTGAACATGATTAATTTTTCAGGCTGGAATAATCTTTGAGGGTGATTTTGGTCACAAATTATATTCACTCTCTCATTGAAATTATATATACTCATTATATCTCTTTCATATCTCTGAATACTTCAGAGACAGTAATATTACTATTATTTCTTAACTAATCTGAATTCTAACTCTAGATCACTAATTCTAATAACTACTTTTCAGATATTGAAGAACTCCGAATAGTGAAATATGCATAATAACTGATTAATAATATATACTGAGAATATATAAAATATGTTTAGTATATATAGATCTTAGTGAGAGAGTGAAGAGCTGACTATGGTTTATTTTTCAGACCCATCTTTTTTAAATCATATTCAACTTTTAATAAACCACATTCAACTGTAACCTGCCCTAAGTTAACAGTATTCTCCCACTGGCGGGAGTTGAAAGGGAATGGTGTGAATATTGGACCAGAGAGCACAGGCGCATGACAGCTTGAGGAAAAGGAGAAAAGGAAAAGTCACATAAATACAGAATATCATATTGTAATCTAAATTAGAAGGGCGGGCGCTCACCATGTTCGACGCCAATCCAAGAGGTGCAGGCGGACAGATCGTACGACCACGGCACGGCACGGCCCAACAGGCGATCAGCATGAGATCGAAGACCAATGTTGGGAGGGAAAAAAAAAAAAAAAAAAAAGGCCGAAAAGAAAAGGGAGGCTCAAAACAATGCCAGGGGCTGATTTAAAATGATCGATCAAGGGGCTGAAATTTGAGAAGCAAAAGCCTGAAACCATCTTTCCCACTCTTTCGGATAACAGGGCCATCATACCTAGCACAATATCCAAGGACGGAATGAAAATCAACCGCATTGGTAGAAAAGGAATGACGAAGAACATAAATCTCCGCAATAAAATGGGAGGGAAAAAGGCAAGAAGTGGTTACCTATCTACTAGACAGTGCCGGCGCGATGGAAGAAAAAAGGCCTGGAGGGTAGTGGGTTGCATGGCGATGCTATTCTGCGAAGTATTCAATCAACCACTGTGTTGACAATGAGTAGAAATTGAAAACTAACAGCGCCCGTTACTCTAATCCTGGCACATACTGGATATACAAGTGTTTGTTCCCATTCTAGCTTCAGTACGGATCACCTCAGTTAAGCAACATGTCACAAGATTACCTCCAATCGGCGAACTGGAAAAAGGGCCGGCTTGGGAGCAAGATACATTCAAGAGATCGTGGGGAATGGGGCGAAGAAAAGGCCGGAGATAAAAACAAAAAAAGAAAGAAAAACAAAACCCAAGGAAGAAAACTTGGATATAGAAACAGAAACTTGAAAGAAGATTAGGCAAAATGATGAAAATAAGTAAGCCCTATACAAGGTGGACAACTATAATGCAATTCGAACGAACATGATATTCCACGAGCTTTCCAAGATTAAGAAAAGGTGCGTTCAAAACGTAAATAGGCATCACGATGGGAAAGAAAATACCATCAGCGAAGAAGAGGAGTGTTTCAAACATTTTTTGTCGTTTTCCATCAACACACACACACACACACACACACACACAGAGTTGAAGGCAAGAAGGCACAATCATCCCGTACATAATTTCCAAATCCGATAGAATGTCTGTTTCTTATTGAGAAAACAAGGGAGAGTGTTGAGGTTGCGGGCCCAGAGGAGTCCAATGGTTGGGTTCCTAGGCTGCCCCAAAAATTAAGATCTAATGGTTCCATATAATTCCTGGTGTGAATAACTTTTTTATTTTAGTTTCTCTTTTGATTACTGGTGTCATTTCGTCATGCGTCATTGAATCGTAAAGACATTAACCCGGCTTGAGGTAAATGGGGGTTGTGCTTATTATGTCTTTTATTCATGAAATGGTATACATTTCTCGCCGTAAATTTATTGGGTGATCTGGGGGTTTGTATTTACTCGACAATTATCTCAACGTTCGTGCCCGATCTCAGTTCGTCACTTCCTCGAGTCTGATGTCCATTCTGGCGGCGAAAGCCCGATCCCCGCTCCGGAGCAGGACCCCGAGGTTGTCTCATGGGAATACGCTCCTGAGAGGATTGCAAATCAAAACCTAAGCCAATCGATCTATTGCTCCCAATCGGAGCAGTGGCAGAGGATTGGGAGTCCTGTTGTTCCCAAGAGAACATTCCACGAAGACGTCTAGGGCTCCCGGAGTTAGGCCCACCAATGCCAGTTCCGAGAGAAAGCCCTCCCAAAGTGTTTACCAGTAGACTATCATCGCGTTGAATGCCCATTGAAGAACCAGAAGGAGTCGGGGTCAAGGTTGGGGTGTTAGACGCAGCGCTGGTACTTCCATCGAAAGGTGGCAAACGAGTCCCATTGGACTGGAGAGCGGCGGGAAAACTAGCAGAAGAAGGCACAGGAGATGGCGTATATGATCGTAGGTCGGCAAAGGACTTCGCGGCTCGTAGATTTTGTGCATTGCCGAAACCACCAGGCGAGTCGAGCACACTAAGGAAACCGGAATGATGTCCACGAAGAGTGTTGAACGGACCAGGGCCATCGCCCCTAGCTTCGCTGAAGTCAATGGTAGCAGCACGGTTGAGTCCACGGCGGGAGGTATCTCCCGTTTGGATAGTAGCGGGATTCGCCGGACCCTGCGGGCTAACATTCGAGTCTGTTGCTCTGAACACGTGAACTTGGCGCTGGTCGCCAGTACCTCGCGAAGCATGTCCTAATCCCATATTATGGGCGAGGGTATGAACAGTACGGCGTTGTAGCGGCGATAGCTTTGCAGGGAAGATCAGTGCTTCCTTGCTCGAATCTTGCTTAAACAAGAGAAGCTGAGAGTAGTATTGAAGAGTTTCCGGTTCGTTCATGTTAACTTCTATTTGAGTCAGCCGGTGATTCAAGCAGGCGTGGAGATAATGAGAATTAGAAAAACGCACTTAGTTCCGCACCACGCTGGGAGACCGGGGAAGGAGAAGTCACGGGAATGTGGGATGCCAACGATGTCAATGAAGGCTGGGAATTCAGTTGTGAGTTCGGCATTGGGCGATGTTGCTCTTCTAACTGGCCCCTGCGCTCACGCTTTTCACGCTCAATCCGCTCCCGTTCTTGCAAGGGAAGCATTTTTTTATATTCTACTCGAAGTTTTCTTCCCTGTAATTCGAAATGGTTAAGGACATCGATTACAGTGGCTGTTTCTTCCGCGGAAGTGAAATTGGCGAACGCTAAACCTCGGAAGACGCCGTTGTCGAAATGGTAGTTAAACGCGTAAGGGAGAGGGAGATTCATCTCTGTCATCAATTGGACCAACTGCTCCTTTTTGACCGCGAATGGGATATTTTTGATCACAATAGCGGTGGGAATAAGCTCGTCGTCTCCTTCGGGGCTGAGATTCTCTGAACGGCTCTGCATCGGTTGGAGCGGATTGGGTCCTAAACCGAAGGGGCCGGCAAGGCCAGGTTGTTGGTCAAGCCAAGTCTTTGACATGTACGTTAGTTGGGGTGAGATCAAGGCGCGCTAAAAAGATTTTTTGGGCCTTCTCCCACTGGAGATTATCTTTAAAAGCATGGTCAAGGAAAGCCACAGTTGACATCGATAACTTACCGCCGGGAGTCCAGTCCTTCCACGTGCGGAGGTCTTCATTCTTCCTGTACTTGCTCCAGCTCCAGAGCCTAAGCCACTCAAAGTATTCGTAGTTCCAAATCCATTTGAATTCCAAGTCTGAGAGCCAGATATATCATATGCATAGGAATTCCCTTGAAGGGCTGGGTTTAGGCGATCCAAACGAGCGGAATCATACCGAGTCATTGGGTCGTCGTATATGCTGGGAGTTATCGGCCCGTAGGCATCGAATTGCCTCGATGACTGGCGATGAAGTTGTTGGTGAGGATGATGACGTTGCGAACCCGGGGATCGAGAAGACGGGTTATCGTGATACATGTCCTGAGACTGAGGATGATAATTACTCATGGTTGCCGCTAAAAACACAAGCTATTTCGAGGGGCTTGTACAGGTTTTCCTTCTTTTCCTTTGGAAGTCGGTAAGACACGAAGCCAAAAAAAGAAAAACGGGCTATTCAATCATGGAGGCGAGAACTATAACAAAAGAATGGAGGATAGTATCGCGCAATAGAGGACTTCGCTGGGAGCTTCTTTGAGGGATCTCAAGATCGTATAACGCGCAAAAAATCAAAACGATATTGTTTTGGCCGGTTGGTACTAAATCATAGACTCTAATGATCGGAGAAGAGCGGACAGGTGATTTTTGTGTAATTTGTGAACGAGCAGGGAAATCTGCGGATATTTCGTCTAGGGCAGTGGAAAACA